GCCATGGAAGAAAAAATGTGGGCAAGCATTGGGCTCTTACATTCGACCTCTAATTAATTTATGCTGACATTTTGATTGCGAAGTCATGTGTACAATGGCTTCGGGACCAGTCGATGTGCAGTTCAGCGGTCACCTCCCAGGCCGATGTCAGACTTTGCAAATCCAGCGATTTGCTAGCGGAATCGCTGGATTCGCAAAGTCTGACATCGGCTCAACGAGTCTGAAAACAAACAGTTGGCTCACAGTGGATTAGTTGGTTGAACTGAGCGGAACTCTTCGCGAGATTTGGCTTTGATCTTGTGCGCGTTATTCAAGAACGTGTATTATTTTCGAATCAGCTGGACCCAAAAAGTCTTATTGGAATTCAAAATCATCAGTTAGTTGAATGTGTGACACGGAAGACGACTACGCGACATATCTTTAAAAATGTGGCAGATTCCTTATAACGAACGGATAAAATTTTAGTAATTTTCCAACGCATGCGCACCAGTTCGCCTGTTCAGAGCGATCTGGGGGGGGGGGGACGGCAAATAAAGTGTTCATTGTCATCGATACGCGTACAGTCCTTTCAGTCGAATCGCATTAATCGACCTTCACCGATTTTTTGAGTAATATCTGTATTTTGCATTCATCTGCACTGCCCGCGGATAGACCGATGTCAGATTGCGCTGGAGCGACTGGCACAAATGATAAAATGACACAAATGACAAATAAAAGAAGTCATAATCATTACAAAAGATCTTCATAGATATTGTCGCCGGCTATGATTTTTAAGTCCCATAATTTCCATATCGATTTCCTTGGTAGTGTGTGATCTGGAGGAATATTCGAGTTTTCTTCTGTAGCTGCATCCGATATTGTAACCATACATATGTTGATATTTTGACTATACAAGTCTTTCCAGGTATTTCTCGAGAAGATTATCTGGCGTTTGCAAGGCTTTGATTTTAAAAATTTTGTAGTGGACGGCAAGAAATGTTGATCTCTTCAAGCTTTATAAGGTGCGCTCTTTTGTCTTTGTTCAGTTTCTACTTAAGTAATTTGATCTTTTATTTTCTGTTTAGTGAGTTACCCGTTTTCATACATTTTCTGCAGTCATAAGGACCTTGAAGTGACACTTGAAAATTTTGTTTCAAGGTCACTGAGCAAGTGTTGGCCTACGTCTGTAAGACTGGGTGATCGTCACGTCTACCTCGAAGGGTACTTTGTTGAAACCCAACATGGTCACTCCTGGTGTGGATTGCCCGAACAAGGTGGGTAAAGATGGAAAGCAGTATCAAGCGAGTGTAGAAAATTCATGTCTTTTCTCAGGTCAGCCACGAAGAAATCGGTTTGGCCACAGTCACAGCTCTTCGCCGAGGAGTCCCAGCTATTGTCCCCAGTATCACATTCCTTTCTGGTGATCAATCCGAACTGGATGCAACGATATAAATGATGTTTGATTGGATATAAAAGATGTTTCCAATAAACGAGGTGTCATTTTACTGGTCTTGCATGCAAAGGGAAAAGAACTGAAGCGGTTCCCTCCCCCCTCCCCCCCCCCCCACACACACACATAGAACACACATATTTTCTTAGAAGGAGTAGGAGTACTTGGAGTGATGAAGTGGTGCACGGTTCTGAAATGTAAGGACTCGGACACGTCGTCTCGCGATTGAGGACGTTGATCGCGGAAATCCACGTTGTGGCCTACCGTGCCAATGTGCGAGGACGGGACACATTCGCTCTGAACACAATCGTTGTTAACTAATTGGTTTTCTTTGCTTTCTAATACAGTGCGTTGCAAAATCATAAACACCCCCAAGAAATTTAAATATCTCGAGTTCTAGATGACGTCGTTCCATCGCAACCAATGATATCATGACCGCCTTTAGGATTTACCTATACTCACAAGCCACCAGGTTACCCGACTACTATTTCGTATTTTTATTATATTTTTTAATCTTAGAGCAGGTGCAAAACCGTAGGACATCCTTTAGAATTCTCCTTACTCCTGGCTTTTTCGATCAAACAGCAACGATAGTAGCACTTATTGCCCCTTCACATGAGCCCCTTCACAGGACATCTAGTGTTAGGAGGAAGAGGAACGGGCTCAGAGCTGACCCTTGGTGCACCCCAACCGTGATGTTTACCTCCTTGTTAGGCCGTGAGGGGTGCGTACGGCTGCTTCGACTCCTTCGTACTTCTAGATGTCGAGATATTCATATTTTTTGGGGGAGTCCTATGATTTTTTAACGCACTGTACCATCATGAAGTCTAGTGAGTTACATTCCTCCATTTTAAGCTATCAAAATGAGACGCACTTGCGGATTTTGTGGGCACGTTGCCAGCTTGGACAAGATGAAAAGAATGTATGTGCAGTCACGAAATGTCGAATTTTATTGATGACTGCCTCACTTTCATTAATGGGGCTCGTGGATAAGGATAGTGTGGACACTCTAGTGGACCACATTAGCAGAAACCACGTCTACATCTGTCACTTTCATGTGGTGAAGGCGGTGAGTAATAGAGAGGACCTTTATATTCTGAATGCAATCATGTTTATAATGAGCAGGCCCAATTCGTGTGCCGAATTACAGTTTCTGGCAAGCGCATCCAACGTTACGAGGATCCATCAGCTAGTGGAAGCACGGCCTACTACACCACTGCGGACATACCGCCACATGTCGTAGACGTGATCAATGCAACCACCCATGTACTGCTCAACATTTCGAGTTATATTGCAGTATGTAGTAAGCAAATATTTAAGAATAATATTGCCGTCACTGTCCGGTATGTATGGGCGTTTATAAATGCCGCTCTAAAAAGTACCATGGCTCAACAATGTGGCCTGATCGTTGCGAGGAGGAGGATGTGGAGGTTTGCGCAATGGTGACGCGGACATTTCTGAGATTCCACTATATGATGAGCAGAAGTTTAAGAAGGGTTGGAGGATTTGCCTACGGCTGGTGAACATGGTGAAGAGCCGATCCCTGAACCGGAAACCGAGGACGTACCGATGGTCGAGGACATCGACGAAAGTGATACCGAAGCTCCCCTGGAAGCGCTGAGGTTCAACTTTCATTACTGTGCCTGTCAAAGTGCCTGAAGAGAGCTATTTCAGGAGTCCGAATATGAGCCCAGTAGTTCGGAATCGGACTTGCAGCTTCCTTGGCACAGCAGAACACCTTGGGCAGACGGAAGATGCTGTAATGCAGAAGTATTCCTTGTAAAAGGAGAGAAGCTCATGAAGCTCTTCCGTTTCTGCCCCGAATGCGGACTTCGGTTAGGCAGTACGCAGCTTAGAGCTGTCGGTACTGCTGCCGTCGTCCGCTTCGTGCGGGAGCTGCAGCTGCCGTCGCCGGCTTCGCGTGCGGGAGCTGCAGTATCCGATCTCCCCGGATTAAGAGATGGGAAAGCCAAGACCGAGCCGTCGCGCATTCGAGAGAGCGCAAATTTGAAGGAAACGTAGTCGCGGCGGTGTCGGCCATAACAACTGGTTTGCGCTACATGGTCAGTGCTATAGGTGACTTCATCACGATAAGTGGAGTTAGTTCCCCATAGTGTGAATTTAGGACCTGGCTCACTGGGCTGAACAAGCCAATGTAGCCATTTTTTTCGAAGACCTCTTACTATCGAACATAGAGGTGTTTAATTGGACGAAACCCGCAGTAGAGAAGGTGTACCTTAGCCATCAAGAGCTGGTGTTGGAAAGAGTTGAGAGGAAGAATGAGGTATAAAGTGTAATTACTCGACACCTCTTGGCAATCCTTAACCTTACCGTGGATTCAGGGTAAGGAGCTCAATCTGGCAGCCGATGGAGCATACGACAGCCGAGGTTACTCGGCGTTGATATGCAAAGTCGTGCTGGCAGATTTGCGTACTAAGCTGATCCTACACACGGAGGTTCTCCATCGGTCGGAGACGGGTGAGTTAGTGTCAAAAACAAAAATGTGTTCATAAAAGGAAATTCTTCTTCAGAGAACATCAGTACGCGCATGGAGGTGGAGGGATTGAAGCGGCTGCTGCGGTGGGTGGGCGAACGAGGAATGCGTGTGTCGTCAGTGATGACGGACCGTAGCCGTTCACTGGGCGCTGCCATCCGAGACTTAGAGCCTGAGCTCGGTGCCATTCATCATTATTATGATGGATGGCATCTGATCAAATGGTTGGGTAATCAGCTCAGGCAGGTATGAAAGCAAAGGAACGCTCTGAATGGATAGACGCCACGCATAACTATGTAGGCAGCTAAGGTGGATGGCTGCGGTGACATCACGGAGTGGACGGAGAAGGTGAAATCATATCTGTGGACAGCCATCGAACGTGGAGCGGCGGCGGGGGTCACCAGGCCGATTTTCAACACCTGCCTGATGCATATTCGTGGTGTGCATCAGTGGCCTATGGTCTGTTCTTTCAAACGATTGCAATAACATCCTCTCCAGAATGCGCTATTTTCAGGATGACCTCACCGCTCCCTTCACTAGCTGTTCACATGGGCATCTACCAGGTCCACGACCCCAGAGCTTCGAGGAGGATAGCAAGGTCTATAGGAAGTTCAGGGACGTCATCCTTACATGGTCTTTCCAAAGGGATCTACTCAAGCCTGGCCCGCACGGCGGAACATCCGTGTGCGAGGCCAAGCACTCATTGGATAGAATTTACTGCCCGAAAGAAAAGTTCTATCCAATTGAGACGTACCCGATCTACGCCAAGATGGCCACAATGCACATGAATACATTTCGGCTGCCCGAAATGACCGGGAAAGGAAGGTGCTGAAGAGGATAGAGATCCAGCGGAAATACCTCAGCAGGAAATCGACGCTGGTTCTGAAGTCTCCAGCAAAACACGTATGGAGAGACTTGTATTGGATGAGGTCCTCAAGGGACGTCTCATAGCCTTGCAAGAAAAGGGTCCAACTCGTACTCCGCAGTGGGTCGTGGACCTTATAGGATGCCCAAGACGATTACGAATGGGAGCTATGACTGAGTAAGCACCTTTTGTCACTCAAAATTTATCATAAAAACACAATGTATTACACTGCGATATCCCGCCACTCTTCGCCATCGCAGTCGGCACTGCAACTACCTCCAGATGCGGCCTATAAATTCATTTCTACAGTCAGTAAGTCACTAAGCCAGGAAAGGGAAGTAATCCTACCTTAAAACCAACGTACACCCCGTTGCGTGAAGGGTAAGCCATCATGATGGCACCCCTCACGCAGGCGGGGATTTCAAATCTCCTGCTCATCCCCTGCGGCCCATAGCACCAAAACACGAAGGAGCGATAGGCGCAATATCGCAAACTTCTGAATAGAACTAATCAAACATCTGAACTGCTACAGACTCTCTAATGGGAAAATTCCAGCAAAATTGCCGCAAAAATTGCCGAAGCTCAGTTCACATAAGATTTGGCCAGGATCACTGCATTTCGAACAATTTCCTTGAATATCCTGCAGGCTATGATACTGTAAGTAACCCTGATTACTACCAGATTACTACTAGCCTTTCCAAAAACGTCTCTATACGCAAGCTTTTGGGGAAATTGTAGGTTTGAAGTACCACTATGCGGGGCAGCGTATATCTAGTGTATCGCAACTTTCATTTTGGGATCCATCTGTGAGTATGATTGGTACACAGAAACAAAAAAATTATATCCGCGAACAAAGGTTGTTTGTTCTGCAATTGTTACTGTATTCCATTCTGTTGGAGTTCCAAATCTTTTTATAGTACTGGCTCTGTATAAAAGGCTGCCAGAACACACATGGATATTCATCGCGAACAATGCTTATGCATAGCGTTCATTTACCTGGTGAGTTAGAAGTTTTTCTCCCAGTTGTTAAGAGTTTCATCAAAATCAAAGAAAAGCTTGTAGGTGCTCACGGTTGCATCAGGATATGCAGGTAGGTAGTTCTCAGTGTTCTACTTGAACTCCATTCTATCAAATTGGCAATCAACAGATGGCTTCTCAGGTGCATCGTGTTCGTTGAATAATGGAATGACTGACGAAGTCAGACAAATGTTTGTCGACAAACATAATGAATACAGGTTGGTGTACGGCACGTACAGCAGCTGCAAGACTGCGAAAACAGTATCATAGCAAAAATGTTGGGTCATTCAGATCACTCGTCGCTAAAGGGCTTGCCGAAAGACCCGATTGGTGGATTCGCACCTAAAGCAGCTAGAATGATGAAAGTGGTATGACTGATGCAATGTGAACGGTCATAATTGTTGCAGATATGCTACTCCTGCAATACTCGTAGTGAAGAGAGTGAGCAGAAATGACAACGGTTGTTAAAAAATGCACTCTTGCAGAGCTATGACTGCGCAGTGGAAGAGAACATGATGGCGTGGGCGAAAAGATGCAAATTCGAGCATTCCTCATATGCGGAAAGGAACAATTGGGGACAGAACCTTTACATGTCGGGATGGATCAATCAGAACAAGACCCAA